CAGTCCTCCATGGCCAGCGGGGAGGTCTCACTGGCCAACTACAGCCGTGGAGACCAAATCCTGTGGGCATGAGACAGGTCGGAGGGGGCAGGGATCAGGTGAGCAGGACAGGCACCCAAAAGATGACCACTTTCAGAGAGCGTTGGTGCTGTGGCGTCTGAGGAGAGCCGGCATCACCTGAGTTTAATCAGGCGAGTGGACTGTCTCTCAGACTAATGGAAGTGCCTGCATTAGGTTTGCCTTTGCTGAACTGGGCTGTGCAGATAAATCCTTGGCTTTTTCTGGAGGTCTCTGTCACACATAGCTATATGAGTCCCCTCTGCATCTATGATAAAATGGTGGTAAGACCATCGTCTACTATATCATTTAATGTTCCTCTATAATGCTTTTAATCTTTGGTTCCAGAATAGTCCTCTCTTTAAAGAATAATGGTTCATCTTTTTTGAATTAGGGCTTTAAACCTTGTCAGGTTTCCCTTTTGCATGGCCTTCAGGAAGCCCCGGTTGACTATGCAGTTAGCATGTGTAGCTGAGCTGGGCTGGAACTTTTAGGCAAGCCTATGCTAAGCAACCAGAAGGGAAATAGCCAAAGGATAATATGTATCTATCTGAGTAGGGATTTCAAACTTAAATGCTCAGAGTCCGTAAGTTAACAAAGGTAATTGAGGTTAGGCTTAAGATAGATAGTAAGTGTATACTTTGTACTGAGTTCAAGCATAATTTAGCTGCCTAGTTACATTGCCTTTTTTTTTTTTTTAAAGATTTTATTTATTTATTTGAGAGAGAGAATGAGATAGAGAGAGCATGAGAAGGAAGGGTCAGAGGGAGAAGCAGACTCTGCTGAGCAGGGAGCCTGATGCGGGACTCGATCCCAGGACTCCAAGATCATGACCTGAGCTGACGGCAGTCGCTTAACCAACTGAGCCACCCAGGCGCCCCTACATTGCCTTTTAAAACACTAGGCTGGCCAATCAGAAACAGCCAGGTAGAACACACTGGAGGCAGGCTGCCAATTCTCAGAACTCCGAATCTCACATAGAAGCTCACTGGTCTTAAGCTCCTCAGTGTGGGGTCCCTTTACCGGAGCATTTCCTGCCTAAACCCATCCTGCCGTCAGTCAGTCGGATAGGGCCTTCCTTTCCCACGTGGTAGTGCCCAGGCTCATCCAGACTTCATGGCTAGAAACACATACTTTCTCTTTCCTGCCTAAGGCCTGCCTCCTGTGTTCCATTTGCCTGCTGGTGGCCTTGCTTTTTCCAAGGATTTCAGTATGGGGAATGTCTGTCCCTTGCAAGAGAGACCCTGATCTTAACCCACAGGAATGCAACCAGCTACGTCCTCTGTGAGATAGTCCTGTCAGCATGCCACAAGGGGGCCCAACACTGGGGCGAGGATGCACACACTGTTTTTTGGAGAGAAGGTACATTCCACAGGTTATGCGTGGGTGACACATTGAAAATGGAAAGGGGTGCCCTGGAGAGTAGACCCAGGTGTTCTTAGTGTTAGAAAAGTTTCTCCCTTAGGGCACCTGGTGGCTCAGTCAGTTAAGTGTCTGCCTTCAGCTCAGGTCATGATCCTGGGGTCCTGAGATTGAGCCCCACGTCTGGCTCTCTGCTCAGCGGGGAGCCTGCTTCTCCCTCTCCCTCTGCCTGCCACTCCCCCTGCTTGTGCTCTCTCTCTCTCTCTCTCAAATAAAAAAATAAAATCTTTAAAAGGAAAAGAAAAGTTCCTCCCAGATTCCAGATTGGCATGTGAGCATCTTGATTTCATGACAGTATCTTACAAATTTGGTCCCTGGAAGTCAAGTCCTCTGTGCCAAGTTACCCTAGGGCAGCTGACTGAGTTGAAGGCCTGGGAGACTGTCCCCCTCCTGCCCCCCGCAAGATGCTCTGGCTTCTTGCAGCGTCCACCTCTCACAGCCATCTCTGTTTCCAAACCAAAAAGGCAAGTGAGGGCTTTTCAAGTTTGAGAACTTCACATTTGCAGAGAAGAAAGCCCAGCACTAGGCATTAAGATGGCAAACAGTGCAGCGTTGGGCGTATAGTGGCGAGCATAGCTGCCTTCTAAGATGGCAGACATCCCAGAAGACTGCATGGGAATCCCACGGCCTATAGCACTGTGTTTGCAGTGGAAAAAGCAACATGTTTTAGAAACTTAAAAAGGAAGAAGAGTTCTAAAATCCTCCCATTCTGTGTGTAAGAGACAACATCACAAATAGTACGTTATTCAAAGGGCCGAGTTTTCATGTACTTTAAGCTATTTTTACTCTAGCACTTTCCGATATTGCTGACTTGAGGGAAAATAAAATTGAAAGCAGCCCTCTGTGTGGAGATAACATTGAAGTGGTCTCTGCCACAGACACTGAGCAGAAGGGATGAAGGGCTTTAATTATAGACTACTGGATTAGGAGTCCGCCAGTCGCAGTGACCTCAGACTCTAGTCCTGTCAGGAGAGGCAGAGAGGCATGTGTTCTGCCAGCTCAGCCGCTAGGTTGGGGGTTGGGGGCGGGTGAGCACTCCCGTGAAGACTCTGAGCCACGTGGGCTTGTGCCTTCTCTGAAGGGCCAGTTTGGGCTCCATTCTGCTGTTGCCTGCCAAGTGCTTGCTATGGCAACTTCAGTTTTGGCCACAGGCTGACTTTCTACACGCAGCTCATCCCCACTTGCAGAGACTCACTGAACGCCTCTTTTGTGTCAGGCTTCTTCTAGGCATGAGGGATTCAGTGGTGAACAAGATGGACAAGGCCCTTGGCCCCACTGAGCTTGTGATCCAAAAGGGGAGGATAAAGTAAAGAAACACAGTGGTTTTGGATTGAAGAGTGATCTTACAGAGAGCAACCTCTGTGTGTCGCATGGGGGATCTGGACAGCCCCCTTGAAGTCCAAAGAGTCAGAAGGACTCAGCCACCTTGAGTGAGGGAAGAGCAAAGGCCAGGGAGTGGGGGGAGGGGGTACAGAGGCAGGAAAGAGCTTGGCACACACATGAGAAGCTTTTAGAAGGCAATGTGGCCATAGAGCAGTGAGCAGAGGGGAGGGTGGTACCAGACAAAGATGGGAAGGGAGGCAGAGGCCCACGCCCAACAGGCATGGAAGAGGAGGCTTTTAGGCAAAGGAGTCACATAACTCGACTGGTATTTTTTTTTTTTTAAAGATTTTATTTATTAGAGAGGGAGAGCACAAGCAGGGGGAGGGACAAGTAGACTCCCCGCTGAGCAGGGAGCCCAATGCGAGGCTCAATCCCAGGACCCTGAGATCATGACCTGAGCTGACGTTTAACTGACTGAGCCACCCAGGTGCCCCACTTGACTGGTATTATAAAGATCTTTTGGGGCGCCTGGGTGGCTCAGTCGTTGGGCGTCTGCCTTCGGCTCAGGTCATGATCCCGGGGTCCTGGGATCGAGCACCACATCTGGCTCCCTGCTCGGCGGGAAACCTGCTTCTCCCTCTCCCACTCCCCCTGCTTGTGTTCCCTCTCTTGCTGTGTCTCTCTCTGTCGAATAAATAAAATCTTAAAAAAAAAAAAAGATCTTTCTGGCTACAGTGCTGGGAATAGTGTGGTGAGTAGGGACAGGAGTGGAAGCAAGAGCCTGCTGCATAGTCAGGGAAAGATCACACAAGCCAAGGGATCCCTATTTGTTTTCCTTTCTTGAGGATTAAACAGATTAAATACCTCCACTTGCTGCCCACAGTGAACCATGCAGTGGTTGGCTAGATAATGAATTGATTCCAGACCTAGTGGCCCAGGTGGCTGGTCATCCGTTAGGTTTGGGTGGCAGCACAAGGGCAGGAAGGAGCTGCCTCCCAGGCACAACCTCATTCCTGATAACAATGGTATAACAAAGCACAGGCAGGTGTGCAAACGAGAGGCTGGGATGGTTTACCAGAAAAAGAGTAACAGCTCGTCTGGCTGTGGTTGCCTTGCTCAGCTCCCTCCTAGCCTCCCCTTCCTGCCCCTGGGCCAAAACTAATGCACATGGCAATCAACAGTCAATCATGCACAACTAGTCCTGGTGCTGAGTAGCCTTAAGGTAACACCATGTGGTACATAGCCTTGTTGCAATAAGATTGATTTGACTTCAAAAGAGGGGGGTGGGAGGTGGGAGAGACTCTGTGTGTGTGTGTTTATGTGTGTTTTAATTTAGGCTGATGAACATGTGTCTCATTTTCTAGCTCCAGTCTCCATGCACCAGAGCTACTGATGAGTTGAGCCTCCGAACCAGACCCTGTGTGTGGTGGGGTGGGGGAGAGAGGTAGAAGGTTGAGCCCAGTGATTTGTCATGGGTTGGAAGAGCTGCCTTGGAGGCATGTGGCCAAACAGCGTGCAGGCTGATGCCCTGGGTGACCACAGATAGATGATATGCTGGTTATGGGGAACACAGACAAGAGAATGGAGCCCCTGAGAGACGATGGACTCTGAAAAACAAACTGAGGGTTCTAGAGGGGAGGGGGGTGGGGGGATGGGTTAGCCTGGTGATGGGTATTAAAGAGGGCATGTTCTGCATGGAGCACTGGGTGTTATATGCAAACAATAAGTCATGGAACACTATATCAAAAGCTAATGATGTAATGTATGGTGGTTAACATAACCAATTCCAAGAGAACGGAGCCCCATGAGTTGGAATTCCTGAGGGGATGGGTCCCCAAGTGCCCCCTGAGGTTGCTACTTCACTTGGTTGTAGGATCACCGGTCTGGTCCCACCTTCTCATGTTACAGACGGGTGACAGCATGCCCACAGTTGCCCAAGGAGTTGGTGGCACCGCCAGAACTAGAACACAGCTCCCAACTCTTTCCATCAGATGAGGCTGCAGCTTGATAAGGGAGGTGTAGGAAGACCCTGCCCGGTACCGTGACCAGATGTGGGCCAGACAGACAGAGCCCAGTTGGACTCTTACAACCTGGAGTGAAAATGGCTACTCCTGCCTCAGCCCGTGAAGGGTATACCCATGGAGGCAACAAGGCAACACTGAGGGTGCATTTTGTATTTCAGAACCTACCAGGAGGAGACCCACTGTTCTACCTCTTGTGGCTGCCATGCTGACTGCCCGCCTCTTCAGACCCCTGTCACAGCTCCCTGGGAGAACCCTGAGTTGCTACGATAGAGAAAATGGAACAAGGTAAGAAATGAAAGGGTGGGAGGAGGAAAAGATGGCAGAGGAGTAGGGGACCCTATTCCAACCAGTCCCTAGAATTGAGCTGGATATCTACCAGACCACTCTGAACACCCATGAAATCAGCCTGAGAGGTAAGAAGATGGATCTGGATCTCTACAAACAGAATATTGCAGGCGGTTGGTTTCGAGGTATGAAGCGGGGAGCTGTGATTCCACAGGCACATATGGGAAGATAAATGGCAGGGGGAGGGAGCCGTGGTGATCATACACCACTGGTGAGTGATAGCCTCCTGCCCTGGGGACAGGGCACAGACTCGCAGACTGGTAGTGGCGGGGAAAGGACTTTAGGGCAGCCCCCCAGACTGAAACCCAGAGTGGCAGGGCCGCGCGTTTGAACTGGGGGCAACTGGTGGTTTTAGAAGCACAAAGGGCAGAGACGTGTCCCGACCTGGAGGCGAGGACTGGGAGCGTTGCTGAGGGGCACACAACCCAGGATGCTGCAGTTTATAGCAGCACAGACAGAAACAGAGATAGTGTGGCCTGGAGAGCTCAATGAAGAACAGACTGCGATCTCTCCACTCTGAGACAGATGGTTGGAAACGATCTCTTCTGCTCTGACTCTTGGAAGAGACACTGAAAGCCACCAGGGAAAGCTGCCAGAGAACAAAAGCCCCCAAAAACCTGTTTTCACTGAGCCCATCCCCCACCACAGGGGGCATGGCAACTCTGCCCAAACAGGGTTGCCTGAGTAACAGTGTGGCAGGCCCCTCCCCCAGAAGACAGTGTGGGAGAACAAGAGGCCAACAACCCTAAGGTCCCTATAAAACAGGTTCATCTTGCTTGGGTTGTGGTCAATAATTTGGACTCTACATTCCCTCAGCCATCCCTCAACAGAATGACTAGGACGAGGAACCCCCAAAATAGGAAAGACTTAGAGACTGTGACTTCTGCCACAGATTTACAAATGGATACAGATATTACCAAGATGTCGGAAATGGAATTCAGGGTAGCAGTTCTGAAGACAATAGGTAGAATGGAGAAATTGATTAATGGCAACATAGAGTCTATAAGGGCAGAAATGAAAGCTGAACTGGCAGAACTTTAAAATGCTATCAATGAGAGCCAATCTAATCTCGATAATCTAACGGCTAGGGTAAGCGAGGCAGAAGAACAAATTAGTGATCTAGAAGGCCAATTGATAGAAAAGAAGGAAAAAGAGAAGGCCAGGGAAAAACAAATCAAGATCCATGAAAATAGAGAAATAAGTAACCCCATGAAATGTTCCAATGTCAGAATTATTGGGATCCCTGAGGGGGTGGAGGGAGAGAGAGGACTAGAAGATATATTTGAGCAAATCATAGCTGAGAACTTCCCTAATCTGGGGAATGAAACAAACATTCCTGTCCTAGAGGCAGAGAGGACCCCTCCCAAGATCAAGGAAAACAGGCCAATGCCCCGGCATGTAATAGTAAAACTTGCAAATCTTAGAACCAAGGAAACCATCTTAAGGACAGTTAGGGGGCAGAGATTCCTTACATACAGAGGGAGGAACATCAGAATAACGTCAGACCTATCCACAGAGACCTGGCAAGCCAGAAAGGGCTGGCAAGACATATTCAGGGTACTAAACGAGAAGAACATGCGGCTAAGAATACTTTATCCGGCAAGGCTGTCATTTAGGATGGATGGAGTGATGCAGAGCTTCCAAGACCAGCAGAGACTGAAAGAATATGTGACCACTAAGCCGGCCCTGCAAGAAATATTAAGGGGGGTTCTATAAAAGAAGAAAGACCCCAAGAGTGATATAGAATAGAAATTTACAATCTATAGAAACAAGGTCTTCACAGGCAACATGATGACAATAAATTCATATCTTTCAATAATCACTTTCCATGTGAACAGTGAAAATGCTCCCATAAAACGGCACAGGGTTGCAGATTGGACAAAAAGACAGGACCCATCCATATGCTGTCTACAAGAGACTCATTTTGAACCTAAAGATATATCCAGACTGAAAGTGAAGGGATGGAGATCCATCTTTCCATGCCAACGGACCTCAAAGAAAGCTGGGGTAGCAATTCTTATATCAGACAAATTAGATTTTAAGCTAAAGACTGTAGTTAGAGACACAGAAGGACACTGTATCATTCTTAAAGGGTTTATCCAACAAGAGGATCTAACAATTTTAAATATCTATGCCCCCAACATGGGAGCAGCTGTCTACATAAGCCAACTGTTAACCAAAATAAAGAGTCATATTGATAACAATAAGTTAATTGTAGGAGACCTCAATACTCCACTCTCAGCAATAGACAGATCATCTAAGCAGAAAATCAACAAAGAAACGAGCTTTGAATGACACACTGGACCAGATGGACCTTATAGATATATACAGAACGTTCCACCCTAAAACAACAGAATACTCATTCTTCTCCAGTGCACACGGAATTTTCTCCAAAATTGACCACATACTAGGTCACAAATCAGGTTTCAACTGATACCAAAAAATTGAGATTATTCCCTGCATATTCTCAGACCATAATGCTTTAAAACTGGACCTCAATCACAAGAGAAAATTTGGAAGAAATTCAAACACTTGGAAGCTAAAGACCACTCTGCTCAATAATGTTTGGATCAACCAAGAAAATCAAAGAAGAACTTAAACAATTCATGGAAACCAATGAGAATGAAAACACATCGGTCCAAAACCTATGGGATACTGCAAAGGCGGTCCTAAGGGGGTAATACATAGCCATCCAAGCCTCAGTCAAAAAATAGAAAAATCCCGAATTCACCAGCTAACTTTACACCTTAAAGAACTAGAGAAAAAGCAACAAAATGATGCCTAAGCCATGCATTAGAAGAGAAATAATTATAGAACAGAGATCAATGAATTAGAAACCTGAAACACAGTAGATCAGATCAACGAAACTAGAAGTTGGTTCTTTGAAAGAATTAATAAGATTGATAAACCATGGCCAGACTTATCCAAAAGAAAAGAGAAAGGACCCAAATTAATAAAATTATGAATGAAAGGGGAGGGATCACGACTAACACCAAGGAAATAGAAATGATTATTAGAAATTATTATCAACAACTATATGCTGATAAATTAAGCAACCTGGAAGAAATGGATGCCTTCCTGGAAATCTATAAACTGCCAAAACTGAAACAGGAAGAAACTGACAACCTGATTAGGCCAATAATCAGTAATGAGATTGAAGCAGTGATCAAAAACCTCTCAAAAAACAGAGTCCAGGGCCTGATGGATTCCCTGGGGAATTCTACCAAACATTCGAAGAAGAAATAATACCTATTCTCCTGAAGCTGTTTCAAAAAATAGAAAGAGAAGGAAAGCTTCCAGACTCATTCTATGAGGCCAGCATTACCTTAATCCCCAAACCAGGCAAAGACTCCATCAAAAAGGAGAATTTCAGACTGATATCCTGATGAATATGGGTTCCAAAATTCTCAACAAAATCCTAGCTAATAGGATCCAACAATACATCAAAAAGATCATCCACCACGGCCAAGAGGGATTTATCCCCGGGATGCAGGAGTGGTTCAACACTCGCAAATCAATCTGTGTGATAGAACACATTAATAAGAGGAGAGAGAAGAACTATATGGTCCTCTCAATTGATGCAGAAAAAGCATTTGACAAAATGCAGCATCCTTTCCTAATTAAAACTCTTCAGAGTATAAGGATAGAGGGAACATTCCTCAAGTTTATAAAACCCATCTATGAAAAACCCACAGCAAATATCATCCTCAATGGGGAAAGGATGAGAGCCTTTCCCTTAAGATCAGGAACACGTCAAGGATGCCCACTCTTGCCACTATTGTTCAACATAGTACTAGAAGTCCTGGCAATAGCAATCAGACAACAAAAAGAAATAAAAGGTATTCAAATTGGCAAAGAAGAAGTCAAACTCTCTCTCTTCGCAGATGACATGATACTTTATGTGGAAAATCCAAAAGACTCCACCCCCAAATTACTAGAACTCATACAGCAATTCAGTAATGTGGCAGGATACAAAATCACTGCACAGAAATCGGTTGCTTTCTTATACACTAACAATGCAACTGTAGAAAAATTAGAGAAATGATTCCATTTACAATAGCACCGAAAACCATAAGATACCTCGGAATAAACCTAACCAAAGAGGTAAAGGATCTATACTCTAGGAACTACAGAACACTCATGGAAGAAATTGACGAAGACACAAAAAGATGGAAAAACATTCCATGCTTATGGATCGGAAGAATAAACATTGTTAAAGTGTCTATGCTACCCAGAGCAATCTATACCTTCAACACCACCCCGATCAAAATTCCAATGACATTTTTCAAAGTGCTGCAACAAACAATCCTAAAATTTGTATGGAATCAGAAAAGACCCTGAATTGCCAAGGAAATGTTGAAAAAGAAAAATAAAGCTGGGGGCATCAAGTTGCTGGATTTCAAGCTATATTACAAAGCAGTGATCACCAAGACAGCATGGTACTGGCACAAAAACAGACATACAGACCAGTGGAACAGAATAGAGAGCCCAGATATGGACCCTCAACTCTATGGTCAAATAATCTTCGACAAAGCAGGAAAAAAGATGGAATGGAAAAAAGACGGTCTCTTCGATAAATGGTGCTAGGAAAATTGGACAGCTATATACAGAAGAATGAAACTCGATCATTCTCTAACACCATACACAAAGATAAACTCAAAATGGATGAAAGACCTCAATGTGTGAGACAGGAATCCATCAAAATCCTAGAGGAGAACATAGGCAGTAACATCTTTGACATCGGCCATAGCAACTTCTTTCAAGATACATCTCCAAAGGCTAGTGAAACAAAAGCAAAAATGAACTTTTGGGACTTCATCAAGATAAAAAGCTTCTGCACAGCAAAGGAAACAGTCAACAAAACAAAGAGGCAACCCACAGAATGGGAGAAGATATTTGCAAATGACACTACAGACAAAGCACTGATTTCCAAGATCTGT